TCCGGAGGTAGATAATCTAGAGTGCCACACACAGTCTGTCTACGAGAGTTTGGAGACACCACGGCCCAGCCAAAATCAGCTACCTTGAACTAGATTATAAAGAAAGAAAAGCTCATGAATTCTTCAGGGTAAATGTACCTTGACATTGCCTTTCGAATCAAGTAGTATATTTTCGGGCTTGATATCACGGTGTATAACTCGCTTTGAATGACAGTAGCTCAAGGCGTCTGCCAATTGGCGAACACAACTGCAATAAAATGTGCATTACAGCTCCATAACCCCTTCACATTACTTTTAAAATGCCCGCGGCCCCTTTTTATAAATATGTCTAGTAAACTGAAGAAATTCCCCAATAACGGACCAATTAAAAAAGCTTGGAAATGGAGAAAATTCTATAGTGAAAGCAGAACAATGGACATCAAAATCTTACCGCGCAGCTTCAAGTTCTTCTAATCTTCCCTTCTTTTTCATGCGACTGTAGAGTTCACCACCATCAGCATATTCCAATATGATGTAAACACGCTCTTTATCATGGAAGTATCCTTTCAGACGCAGAATATTGGGGTGGCTAAACATATGACATCAGATGGAACAGTCATGTTGCGTAAATCTGGTGTTGTTAGATTCTTACTTACTTCAGTTGCTCGTCTATAAACAAGCTCAAGTTAACTATTCAACGCATGAGTCAAAAGAGCATTTTCAAGTGCTGGGATCAGCCTTTACATTGTCATTTCATTACATCATTGTCAAAACAACAAGGCAACTTTCGACATATGCCTGCTGTATGGTTTAAACCGTATCGCTGCCTTTAGGGTGGAATACGTGCAAGAGCCAGTCACGAATCGATGATTCTCAAACGTGACAGATTATATCTAAAAATTTCAAAACAAAAGTGATAGAATATTATGAGCCGTAGACAACACCCAGATTTGTTTGAGCTGAACATACCGTAAATGATATTGGATTTCAATTTCTCGTTTGACTTGATGCATAACATTGTGTTTTCGAATCTGCTCCTTGAAAAGTACCTGAAGAGACAAAGTACGGATATGAAGTGCATGCTGCTTACAGTAGTTGAGGTGCTATAAACGAGAATGAAAAGCAATGGTCACTTGACTTTTGTCCACGTCACCAAAAACGTAACGCGCCACAAGGAATTTCTCCGAAATTGTTTAATGGTTTTCGTCCCCATTTGCTTTATTCAACTTTTGCCAACTCGTGTT